ACAAAGGTTACTTTGACAAAAGCTGCCTGGTACGAAGCTACCTGGATCAGGGCTATCCGGTCAGAGGCTATAAGGACAAAGGCTACTTGGAAAAAGGCTACTTTGACAAAAGCTGCCTGGTACAAAGCTACCTGGACCAGGGCTATCCGGTCAGAGGCTATAAGGACAAAGGCTACTTGGAAAAAGGCTACCTGGACTGAGGCTACCATGACAGAGGCCACAAGGACAAAGGCTTTCTTGGACAGAGGCTTCCTGGAAAAGGGCTACTTGGACAGAAGCTTCCAAGTATGAGGCTACCTGGACCAAGGCTACCTGTACAGAGTCTACCTGGACAAAGGCTATAAAGGACAAAGGCTACTTGGACAGGGGCTTCCTGGAAAAAAAAAGGCTATTTGGACAGAGGCTATCTGGAAAAAAAAGGCTATTTGGACAGAGGCTATCTGGAAAAAAGGCTAGTTTGACAGAGGCTACCTGGGCAGTGTCGGAGCGTCTCTCTCTCGCCCTCCAGTTTGCTTCGGCCATACAGATTGAGTGGGTTGGGAGAGTCGTCTTCTCCATACGGAGGGTTCCGACCATCAAACACGTAGTCGGTGCTGATGTAGATGAGGACGGCCCCACAGGCAGCTGCAGGTGGACAACACACACGCTACATACATGATGCTGGTCATAACAGGTAAACCATGTTGAATCATCAGCAAGACATTTTATTCAGGTTCATCAATCTCCTGCTGACAAGAACAATGATGTGTCCTGAATTTGTACAATAACTAAAGCCTTATCAAAACAGTAACAGGTTCTGCTCCAGTTCTTGTTCTCCCCTGTGGTCTAAACTTTAATGGAATCTGATCAAGTGATTCCGATCAGTAGTTCTCTGGGCTCAAGTAAGGCATTCTGTTTTCTCTTTGGACTCTGACCAGTACTCATGGTAGAACCTTAACCCTTCTGGATGCAGCCAACACGGACAGAGCTCCTGAAAACCTTTAAGTCCCATCAACAGCGATTTGGACCGGGAAAAGGAGACCACGAGGAGCCACAAAGCGTCCATGGAAACCCAAAGTCAGTTCTCTGAGACAATCATGGTCTGAGCCAGGGAGTGGGTCGCACTAGAGTCTTTGTGCTCCTCGGACTGAATGATCAGCATTGTTGGTTGTTCAGTGAAAAGCTGCAATAAAATTCCCAGAACATCTGACAGCACCTGGGCACCACTGACCTGCCTCCTTGGACACCGTGCTGGTGGCGTGAACGTTCAGGCCGACCGCAGCATCAGAGTTACGCTCCATGACGTCTGGGCGCCGTTCTGCTGCGCAGTGAATGACTACATCGGGCTGAAACACAGTAAAATGAATCAGACATCTTGATCCGCCCACCCTGAGTCAAAGTAAACAGAACCTGATGTTTTTTGTGGACCATGAGGAGCTTTAACAATTCAGGAAGGAGCTAATGTACAACTGATTTAATCTGCTTTTTTATCAGACCCTATACATGGACCCGGCAGGCTGACTGAAGGCCAGAGCTTGAGCTTCTTCGCCCAAATATCCTTCAGAAGCTTAAAATGCTGTTGACTTGGTGCATTCGGTTGATCAGTGAACACTGGACACAGAGGTTCTACCTCGTACTAATAGCCCGGTACCTGCCCTGTAGCGTCCAGCAGTAGAAGATGTGACACTCACTACTGGGAGCTACGGAGGCAGAGGAGATCAGAGATGGTTCCATAGTGAGGCTCTGTTGAATGGTTACAATGATTTCTTAAAGTCGAAGGGAAGCGGCTGTTCAAACCGTTGCATTTCCCAATTCTCCCGAGTGGAGCACGTCTTTACACGAGTGCATAAAATGAACGTGATTGGTTGATTATCAAGGATGCAGGATTGTTGTGGTAGAAGGTTCGCAAGCTTTTTGGTTGTGGCCGGTTTATCAGAAGCATTTTGCTAACCAGTTAGCAACTTAGTGCTAGTAGGTTCCCAATGGGAAATTCCATTGGGACCAAGTAGCACTAAATTGCTAACCAGTTAGCAACTTAGTGCTAGTAGGTTCCCAATGGGAAATTCCATTGGGACTAAGCAGCACTAAATTGGTGACTTAGAAACAACACTGTCAAGGAACGCTATGGACAGAGGAAACATGCAAGAGGAGAGTTTAGTGGCGGAGGTCGTGGATGAGTCTCCTACGTCATCCATTTTTTATTTAGA